ATATATTATATATATATATAATAATATAATATATATATAATATATATATTATATATATGTATATACTATGCTGGATAATATAAACTTAGGATAATCCCATTCTATTTTTATAACACAATTTTTCTATTACGTTCAACGGCAGTCGGGGCTTGTATAAACATGCAAATGGTTGAACCCCAGGTCAGCGCATGCACGACCGCACGCCCCCACATCCCGCATCATCGTCCGCCGCTATGCGCACGTGTGCGACTCACGTAGATAGGCATTCCCGCGGCAGCGGCTTGGCTCATGATGTACTGATGTCCGAGAATGTTTGGTGCCACCCCCGGAGGCAGGTTGGGCGGGACTTTACCTGAAATACACGACACGCTACGTGTTCACCATCAATCGCAAACGTACGAATTAACCCAATATCAAACGCAGCAACATTACGCTTGAGATATAAGAACAGGGTTGGTGCATGTGGTGCAAGTTTTTTCCAGTTTTCCTGGACCTTTTTCTATGACTGCAAGATTTCAGCCCAATACAATCGTTGCGCCTTGTATCATCCACTTAACCAGTAGTGACCAAACGCTCACATGAAACACATTTTTCTGACAAGACAGACATGAGCTAAACTTTAAGGACCTTCTGAGACCAAACATAACAATAGCTGACTTTCCAGGTTTTCGGGGACCCGTACGAACCCTGCTAACCTTGCCGTGACAACCAACCCCCACTCACCGCCGGCCAGAGACATCTTCGTCCTCGTCGAATTCGTCGTTATTGTCGACAAGTTTGTGACGCTCTGCTGCGTCGCCGCGGACGACGACGCTGTTGCCGCGACGACGCCGCGCTCGCTCCCGCCTGCCCCTCGATCCCAGCCGCATCCTTCCCTGTCGCCGACGCGCTGCCTCCGAGCCCCGCAGTGGCGCCCCCTAGCTTCCCCGTGGCGGCCATCGCCGACCCGTATCCCGAGCCGTAGCTCTGATTCTGGTACGTGGCGCCGTCGGACGTCGTGTGGTTGTTCTGGTAGCCCGCCTGGTGTACTGCGTCGCACTAGGGTAGCCGACGGTGCTGCCCCCGCGCCGTGAGTCGTTGAGTAGCTAGACCCCTGCTGCTGCTGCGCGCCGCCCTGGTACGATCCCGGCTGCTGCTGCTGCGCGGCGGCGGCGGCGGCAGCGGCGAACGACGCCTGGTACTGAGAACTCGCCGCCTGACTCTGGTTCATCAGAGCCACGGCGGCGGCCGCGGCGGCCGAGTGGTAGTGTGACGACTGCGTCTGCACGCCGCCGGCCTGGTAGGGCGACGTCGTTGACCCCGTGTCCGGGTACCCGCCCGCCGCTGTCGATCCGCCGCCGCCAGCAACCGCCGCGTACTGACCCTGGGCCGCGTATGCCGCCACGCTGTAGCCAGATGGTGGCGCCACCTGCTGGCCGCTCGCGTAGCTCTGCGCGGCGGCATTCTGTAGCGATGAAGACAGACCGGAGGAGGAGTAGCCGGAGGGTGCTGAGGCCGTGCTCTGCTGCTGCTGCTGCTGCCGTGTCGCGTAGCCGGACGGATAGCCAGAGCCGTAGCTGTTCGACAGCGACTCCGTCTTGCTGCCGCTGGAGCTCAGAGATCCTGCACGGAAAACACAAGAACGTCTCTTCGTCAAAACACAAGAACGGCTTCCTTGACTTCGTGCGGAATTAATAATGCAGCTGGTGTTATCCTCGCGTATAGTAATGCAACCTTGACAAATTTACGAGGGCAAACTTCTGCGCCTCACGAATACACTTTATTGACAATTTCTTTCATAAGACTACTGTGCAGTTTTAATTTATTCGCAATGTACGCGACTGAACTGACACTGAGAGGCTCACAAGACTGTTTGCACTTACGAAATCACAGTCTGGCTACGCTACTAATCACACTAGTGCACATAGAGAACGCGTGAGTGATGCCATCTTACTTGCCACTTACCATCGAGTGGTTGCGACTGGTTAGGCCGTTGATTTGACATCATAGATGTTGGCTTAGTCTGCCCCGGCAATAGAATCGGCTCAGGTCCTGCAGATATCTGCAAGCAACAAACATCTGATCATCTCAACCCATAAATGCCAGCAGTTCAAGATAAAACATTAGGTTCACTCAAATGATTATTCACGCGAATAATTTCGCAGGAGCACATTTCATTAGTGTCTCTGATCATATTTGTTGGAAGCGAACTCACTTCATAATGTCAAATTTCAGTGTTGGACTCATAAATCTACTACTCTACTACTAACTAAAGCTGCTGCTGCTGCTACTACTACTATGACGACGTCGACTACCACTACCACTACCACTACCACTACCACTACTACTAATAATAATAATATTATTATTATTCCTACTATTACTACTACTACTAATGATAATACTACGCTCTACTACGCGAAACTCGCTGACTTTGGAGCACGATTACCCGTATCGCGGATGCCCGCGCACATACCTGGTTCTGCTGGCCTCCATCCTTCGTCTGGCCGGCTGCGGGAATGCTGGGAGGGCCATACTGGGCCCTGGTCGGTGCTCCCTTGCCATCAAACGCGCCCGTGCCAGCCTGCTGGCCGGGCGATGCTCCGCCGCCGCCGCCGCCGGCCGCCACGCTCGAGCTGATCACAGTTGAGGGAACTTCGCACGCGTTTGCTGACGAGGGCAGCGGGGCGGACGCTGAAGCACTGCGCGCGGAAGAGACGCGAGACAAGACGGATTAGCACAGCCGCGGCGAACGATTCACGCGCGAGGGAGAGGCGGGCTGGGCGAGCGGCGAGAGGGATCGGTGGTGAGGTGGCACAGCTGATGCCCAACTCACACTTGTGGGAGACAATTTAGCGATGAGACGATGGAGCAACAAATTAATGGCTACGCCGAGATATGAGATTTACGATCACTGACCGTTTGTGCGGCAGAGACGAGGTGAGAAAGGAAAATATTTGTGTCGTCATGGTGGTATGGATCACCGCCCGATTCTCGAGCTCAATCTAGCTTTATGTTCTGGCACACAATAAGCACTATTACATCCGTCACATTGACAGCAAATGATGAAAGAATAGCACCACACCTGGAAGATGGCGATTGCTATTATGCCTGGGAGCTAATGAGCGTTACTAGTAACTACACCTGTCACGTGCACGCACACACGTACGCACGCACATGCACGCACGCACATGCACGCACGCACGCGCGTGCACGCACACACGTATGAATGCACATGTACGCACGTACGCACGCACATGCACGCACACACGAACGCACATGCATGCACACGTTCGCACACACATGCACGCACACACGTACGTACACTCATGCACGCACACACGTACGTACGCGCATGCACGCACACACGCACGGACATACACGTGGCACACACACACATACACACACACACCTGGCGGAGTTCTTCTGGTAAGAATTTGTCACGTTGCTGGACGAGGTGCTGTAGGGTGTGAAGTCTGAGTCGGAGCCAAACTCCACCGCACCGAATTGCACGTCGAGGCCATCCATGGGGTTACCGGGCATCTCCACAGCAGACTGTGGAATCTGTCACGGTAGTAAGCTCATAGTGAGATAGAGAGAGAGAGGCGAGAGAGATACAAGTAGAGACATAGAGAAAGGGGATAAGGAGAGAGACAAAGGAGGAGGAAGGGAAAGATGAGAGAGAGAGAGCGGGGAGATAGAGGAGAAGAAAGAGAGGGGGAGAGAGGGAGGAGGCAGAGAGACAAATAGAGACAGAGAGAAAGACAGAGACTGGGATAGAAAGGAAGAGAAAGAGAGAGATGATGCCAACTTGCCAAGTCACCAACATCTGACATGCAAAATTTCACATGAAAACCTTCAGTTGAAAGACAAAAATCCAAGGTGTAAACATGGATTACTGCATAGCTATATGAATATGAGCACACACATGAATATACATACACACGCCCATACACACGCCAGAAGCGCACACACACCCAAGTAACAACGCAAACTCACTTTGGACGGCGGCGGCAGCCGCGTCTTCTGTGTTTTCTGCCGCTGCGCCTGGCTGGCCTGCGACGCTGTCATCGCGGACGCCTGCTGCTGCTGCTGTTGCTGCTGCTGCTGCTGGCTAGGAGGCTGCGGCGGTGACTGCGCGGGCATCTGTGCGGCCGGTGCCTGGCTCGGCATCACGCTGGATCGACTCTGCCCTGACGCGGCCATCGACGCCCACGTGTCGCCCATCGTCGAGCTGCCGCCACTGTTCACCAACTACGACGAGCGATTAATCATTACGCATCGTCACACTGTCACGCCGGTAGTAGCAGCCACCTGTCGATTTACTGCCTGTCCATAAAGGCCAGCTCTCTCTCGCATGACCTTTATAGACAGGCTCGTCTGTATTTCACGTACGTCGAGAGATAGGTTACTGGTCCTGACCGTCTTGGGCAAATATTTCGTGGGTGAATTACGTTATTTCAGCGCTAACCGCAACATGTGCAGGGTATAAGTTTCACTGCCGAATCACCACACAACACGCTGATCCATCCTAGCCACAAAGTATTTGAATTTCAACAAAACAATTCTAACCTAACACTAACCAAGCTGCAGAAGCTTACCCCAACAGCTGACTTGATAGTGTCTGTGGCGACTTGTGAGTTGAACTGGTTCATTAGTTGAGACTGAGCTGACAGAGTGGGGTCACCTAAGCTGGTACCCTGTGCCTTTGGAGGCAATATCGACTCCAAGTCGATGCTGTAGACAAAAAAACAATCACACTAAAATAACCTATACTCACGTTGTTTCTGTATTTACACTCCTAGAGTTCATTGTTAAGACAGCGTTGAGTAAAAATCGCTTACAGTGGACTGCGTTGGAACAACACAACTAATGCTAGGAAATTACTCATATACTATATGCTTAGACTTATTGCCACAATCTCATTCACGCAACATTACGCTTACTTTCTGATTTCAAAGCTAATCGATCATGGAGAAACACGGCCAGACACCCATCAACGAGAGGAGACAAACACAATCTCCCTTCGCACTAACACTCTTGCTGGACGCTTTACAGCTTGACACTGCAGGGGGCGAGCGGATACCAACAACGAGGAGATACCTTTTTCCGACCATGCTGTCCTGATCTACTGTGTTTGTGGCAGTCGCTCCGCTGGGAGTAAACACCTTCGACTCAACGACTGTCTGCAACATCGCAATGACACGCAAACTAGCACACAGCAGTGAGAATGACCCATGAAAAACTCACTATCACTCTATAGATTCACTTACGTAAACATGCCTGACATCGTGAAACTTCATATTACCATACCTATATCACAACATTATATTATGACCCATAATTATAATTGGATTTTAAGTGACACAAAACTTACTTCTGATGTCAAAATCATAATACCCAATATTTTACCTTGTCCCCCACCAACACCTTTTTTCTACGAATTTACACTCAAACATGATCCTGGCAAAATCTCTGTAACTGTAAGCCTGGCATGTCAATGGCCGACAATATTGAAGGAGGGTAGACAATATAGATACTAAAGCAGACCATTGTGGGTACAGCATGTACATGACACACCAGGGGACAGGTGAGAACACATGCTACACCAACATCAAACTGTCAAACTGCATTGTTATGGGCAAGCATATATTCTACATCACTCGCTCTGCCTGTAGCCCCTGACATGTACGTCTGGGAAAGTTTATGAACGTGTGATGGTCGAGATTGGCAGGGGAGTTGTGCACACTTACAGACCAGTCCTCCTCCGCCCACTCTTCTATGTCGTTAGCCATATCATTGCTCCAATTACCTGAAAAGCGAAGAGATCACATCAGACGTAGGAAATCATCGGCAAGTAACAACATCTATCTCTGCCGCTGACAACATTTCTCGAGTTCTCCCCTTCTGGCTTATTCTGCCTCTACACTCATTTTCACTTCTACATTCGGTCCTCATTTTACAGAGATGCGGCACACACATCTGTCGCTCTGAAAAAGCTCTCTCGAATAGTCTCCCCCACTCCGCGTCTACGTATATTTTCACAGACACCATTTCATGAGCTCGGAGCGACGTACCTCTGATGCTAGACCGTTGCCACACTTGCTCCCATGGCAATGGTTTCACAGATGTGGCACACACGCACCCCCCCCCCCCCGCCACTGACATAACTCACACAAAATCTCCCTTGCGACGGCTTCCACGTATTTATACGCGATGGCGACTAGGCTTACCGACGTGTGTCGTTGTGTCATTGACGACGCTGTCGTCCAGGTTGCTGTTGGTCCACGTGTCGATGGGTTTGTTGAACGCACCACCGCGGCTGCCTCCCCCTCGGCGCTCGTCGTCCCGCCACGTCCTGAGTGAACACAAGAACATCTACGTCAGCTCGCCCCCAATACGCCTGCTCGCTCTCTCCCTACCGCAACCCTTGTTGTGATCCCCGTTCACGCACGGCTGACCTATCCATGCAAGGCGAGATAACCATACCTCAGACAGTGTTTCCCCTGCATTGACAAGAGCGAGGCGGCCGCTCAAATCTCAGCCGCCACGCAGAAATTTATCCAAAAACACCGCCTCGCTGACGAAAATCAATGTTCTTCCATCAATAAACTACACTTTATTGACAGCGTTCGAAATTAGTACCGACCCGGAGGCCCGAGGCTACCAAGTTTTTGCTTCGGTCACCATCTCTACGAAACTGCCGGTCCTCCGAGGCCTGCCTCCTCCGGAGCGGCACTTTTCCCCTCATATTACGCTGAAATACTACTGTTATCGCAACGGCAGTTTAGACAGAATTGTAAACGGGAGCCCATACTAATACGCTTTGTTCCGGAACGTAGACGGGGTATCCCAAACATCTAGAGCCGAGGGCATGAACTCCCTCAACGCTTGATTCGCCACACGAACAAAGCCTCGTGACAGTCTAAGAAATCGATTGCGGCGGCATGTACCACAGCCCAGTGTTTTTATGACCGCATAACAATAACTTCATATGTCGCAGGGGTTATCGTGGGGAGTGTGGGCACGACCAGTGACACCTGACACGCAGGTAATCAAAGCTGTTAACTGAATTCGTCCCTTTCTTTACGTAGAAAGTGAACTATTTTTATTCAGTTAGATATCTAGAAGCAATGTAAACTGTATATACTTCAAGATTCTAGGTACTTGTACCTTTGCGGATATGCGGCAGCATTAATCTATGCATGGGGGTACAGAGGACTGTGGAGGAGAAAAACGAAAGTAAAACCTTTCCCAGAAGCTTGTTTGTTCCTTGTGACAACTTGAAAAAGTGATTCAAGTCTCATATAATGTGTTCAGAATAGCTTAGAATGCACAAAATTGCACCTTTTTTTAATTTCTGGGGGCCATGCCCCCGGACCCCACTAGCATCGCGATCACCTTCGGTGCTCGCATTGCTCGCTTCTCCGATTGCGCAACCACCAAGAAAATTTTTACCGCCTCGCTGACCTTTTTGGCCAGGGGAAACACTGCCTCAGATATTGTTTCTAGGTCCGGCTCACCCACTTTATACCCTGTTTCTCATGCGTGCATGCCAAATTGAGGACTTTGCGACACTTCGCTCCCTGGCTTTGTCTTTTAGAACATCTTATTACAACAGTGATTGGCTAGAGCTGACTGTCAATCTTGACAGGCGGATAACAAGCGTCAATTAGGTTCACATTGTTTCACATGTCGTACCGACTCAGCAATAACTGGAAACCATGGGCCCGTTGTCAGAAACAAAATTAGTCTTAACATTAGTCTTAACATTAACTTCCACTCGTAAACCGTTGACAGAAACATCGCAAAGTTACGAGAATGAAAAATCCTCGAAAGTATCCTCTTAACATTACGAGAGCCCAGACCCTCTCGTAACTTTAATATTAAGATGAAAATAACACATTTACACTACGAATTACAATTATAGTGATATATTTTATAATAATGAATAAAATGTGTGTTTTTCTTGAAAAACACGTCAAAATCATTCATTATCTACCGATCATAAAACAAAACAAAACATTTACAAAAGGCGTATGGCATTTGTTCTCTTGTTTTAACTACTTTGCTACTTGCCACGACTCTCGCGTCTCGTGTTACAGTGTGAGAATTTGTCTTGTTGTGCAGAATAAATTCATAACCACATCGTTTTTAATCAAATATTATTTACATGTGGTTAGCCATCATAATATGCATAAATAACTGTGTTGTACAATAAATGCGTATGAATTTGAATTTTGTGATCGATTCTCATCCAATCAGCAGTCTTGTGACATGAAATTATGAAGTTCCTGTTATCGCGAGTTTGCTCGTAGCTACGACGTGTTTCTGTCAACGCTACTCTCGTAAAATTAAAGGGACAGTAGCCTCTAGGATTTTACGGCATACAACTGTACTTACTGTATAACAAATCGTCTATACCCACACGTATTTGTTACCAGATATCCAATCTTAAATTGTTATAATTAATATAACACTATCAACGCTCTTAAGAATTCAAACGGCGCCATGACACCCCGACCTGCTGCACCACCGAAAAAGTGCTGTATTTGACAATTTATTTTGCACGATAACAGACGAGCGCTAATCACAAAAGGCAATGATATTATAACCATAAAGGCTATTTAACAAACGATATTATTTATATGCAATTCTATCCATAGTATAACTGAATACTATATATCTTTATAAGGTATTACGAATCCTTTTGCTTTTAATGAATAAATAAAGAAAACACCCTCGGCTCTGTCTAAGCCCTTGGCTGGAAATGGTTTGCGAACTTATCAGATCGCTGCGCTTTGAGTAGCGCCACCGTCGTTGCTAATCAAACTGTGAGTCAGCTTAGTTTTAAAACAGTTCTTTTTTAAACTATTTCTAATGGTGAGTGAACCATGAAAACTTTTTATGTAGCGTAATTTATTAACCTAAATTAGCTGAAATATAACCCTAGAACCTAGAGTAAACTCTCCCTTTAACATTAGTCGTAAGTGTTATCGTAGCATTAACATTAGCATTAACTTTACGATGTTTCTGACAACGGCCCCCATGACAATATTGGCAAATACTGGTACAATCGTTTCGTCATTTATGGATACAGACAAACTACAATCACTGGCCATATGCCCACTAACCGATATAGCAGCCAAATGCTACACACCGAGCTCGTTTATGCTATATAGCTACATTACCCTATGCGAGATCCACCCCTAGTGCCTCCACGACCACCTGAAACAAACACGCGTATAAGCAACCAAGCTCAAGTGCTATCACGTATTAACACACAGTTGTAAAAACCATAAATTTCTATCGAGCTAGCTAAACGAGCCCCACATCACCTGTAAGCCACTAGCGCATACCACCACATTATGAATCGCCATTAGATTACCTTTATTATGAATAAATAAAGAAAAAACAAGTGCAGTGGCAAATACCAGCAACACAAACTTTACCTTCTTGGAACCAGCCACCCAGAGAAGCTGCCATTAACACATGCACACGCACTCACATACAGACGCACGCACCCCCACGGACTCACGCACACACTACAAGGCATGTTATCTCTGCTATGACGCATGCGCGCGAGTTTCTACTTACGTCCGCCACCTCGTCCACGACCTCTTTCCGATCTTTCTGAATCACCACTTCTGTCACCATCCGGTCCTCTCCCTGTAGCAACGAAAAATCCCACACGTTACTCACACGAACGGTGACCTCACAGCGACTGTTACACAATGACGACAACAAGTTGGTGAACACTAACTTGGCATAATTCAGACTACGGCAGACGTAAACTTGCCCTCGTATCACTAGCCCTTGCCTACTGGCTGATAATTCAAATGGAAACTTCTACGTGGTAAACTGTGTAAGTTAGCGCATTATGCCTGGCGCATTACGGAGCTGCAGAACACCACCTGAATACATCGCATGCTATCACATCTTATTGCCAACGCCATTAACAGACGGCAGCTGGGAACCACATTTACGATGCACCCTGGCCCGTCAAACAGGGGAAGACTCAACTACGGTGACACGCCAAACTGGAGTCGCGTCCCCGCGCGCATCCGACGAAGGAACGACACACGTACACGTGCGGTTGCCGCGGGCGAATCGCGGCGCGATGTTGCGTCCGCCGCGCGATCCTGCGCCGTCACGCTCGTGCGAGCTGCCGCCACCACCGCCGCCTCCGCCCCGCTGCTGCTCGAATGTGCCACGCTCACGGCTCTTCTCTACGACCCGGTCCGGCCGGCCTTCCTTTGGTGTGTGGTTGGTCTCAGCCGCAGGCTGCTTCTGAGTCGGCGCGCTCGCACTCGCCTTCTTCTTCTTCTTTCCCGAGGTCTCCCACTCTCCCTGTAGATTAGTGTAGATATCAAAAATACGGGCAAAATCATCATTTGGCTATAATCTCGCAAACTCTCCCTGCATTGGAAGGTGGAGAAGTTCATTTAAAATTATTTTTTGGCTTTTCTTTTTTCGATTTTTGTTACGAGAGCAGTAGCGAAAAGGTGCCAAAATAAAACTCGAGTTTACAAACTGCACTTTCTTAGAGACAATAAACTAGACTCGAATGGAAGCACACAGTCACACACACACATGCACGCACCACACATACACGTGCACCACGCACACACAAAGACATGTGCCACATACACACGCATGTACACACACCCACGCATGCACGCACACACACACTATCACGCACACATGCACGCCTTCATACGGACACTAGCATGCACTTACCTCATCAGCATACCCTTCCAGCAACATATTAACGGCTCTGTTTGGATCTCCATCGCAGTCATGCAATGCTACGACTGTCTCATCCACAGATCTGCCTGTTAGCTCCACTACCTGCACGATACAACAATGTGAAACACACATCAGCAATAAGTACAGTCAGACGACTAACCATCGCAAACAACTCTCTCCACAAGCGTTCTCCACTACCTGTACAATATAACAACCGACAAGCATGAGCGTGAATATGGCTATACAACATGTACAAGTTCAACCATCACCTCAAACAACCCTACCCATGCGTACCTACACAATACAACAACAGGGCATGAAATTCAGATTCTTTTGCACCGGCCCAGAGGGCTGGCAACAGCAGTTTTTTACCAGCCCTCATCATAATTTACCAGCCCACACAAATTTTGCTTTAAAAAAAACATAAAGACAAGACCGTTTCGCTGACTCTTGCTTGTCCAAAAAATGTTGTAGTGTGCGGCATCACGCAGTAGCTGTTGAACAGACTATAATGCAGATCGTGAATGATGTCCGAAGTGTTTTTGTCAAAGTCATGTTTCAAGCTCGCATTGTCGATTTCAAATTTGTAAAATGTTGATCAATTATGGCGTGACATCCTTCAGGTAAAATAGTATTGTAGGCTATTTGCTCATTAATGCTATAAATAATGAAAGTGTCAATGACACTGTAGCTCACCATAAAAAAGGACACAAATGAGTGAGTGAGAAGAAGTCAGTTTTAATTGAGCAATCATCGACGTACATTATAGAAACGAAGAGTATATATGGGAGAACTCTATCTCTTATTATATACTCTTGATAATTATGTGTAATTTTTTATGTGAAAATAATAAATAATATACAAGTTCGTCTTGTACTATTTTGTTCACTCATCACACTTCAGCAATTTCACATTTCCACTTGTCCCTCCCCACTGCAAAGCATTATGGGGGGGGGTGTCACATCTGAGATGCTACAGGGTGGTTCCAAAAAATCCGGAATGATCAAGTAGTGACCAATTAAAGCGTAGCGAGCGGTAATGGTAATGAATTTTTACCGTCGCAGAACGATCCGTCGTGCAAATCGAAAGCTCCCTAATGCTAAATTTAATGTGCTAATTCGCAATGAAGAAAATCCCTTCTAAATATTGTTATTTTGGGTCTGATTTTCAGCATTTTTCAATCGGATTTTTCTGATTTTTTTCCCGAAACTTTTTACATTTAAAAAAAAATCGGGAAATGTAGCATCTCTGCCCCGTAAAAAAACACATAAACTGGTTCAACTTATAAAAACGGCCAAGAGGTTGTTATAATAGAAGAGGGAATACTGTAATAATACAACTGCATATAAAAATAAAATTAATGTTGATATCAACAATATCATGCTTAGGGGTTGCACACAACACGGTTACACCATACAGTGAAGAAGGCAGTCTTATTCAGACATCAGAAGGTTGTTGCATACCGTGATATAAAGTCTATCACGTCTATAAGAATTACAAAACTAAAGGTTTAGTAGCTTAGTCAGCTCTCTCTCTGTGAGAGACGGTCAGCCAGCATACAGAACAAGCATGACAACAGGGTTCATAGTATAGTAAGACACATGTTGAAATAAGGACTTATAAGACCATTTCTGGAGGTCAAAATAAGACTTTTTTACGCGATTTCTGATAGATCACCGACTATCAAAGTACACTAATAATATTTATATACACAATTGCACAGCAGATTTAATTATTCCGTATTATATATACAACAATTCTTACTCTAAGTCGAGAAAAAATAAGGACTATTAAGTACTTTTCTAAGATTTCATCAAAAATAAGTACTAATAAGGGCCCTTATTTTATTTTTGGCAAAATAAGTACTTATAAGACTTTGGAAGACCCGCTACGAACCCTGGACAAGCATACAAAACTAAAATGCTACCATTCATATACATCAAAAAGAACTAGCACTAGAGCGATCACATCGATATGTTCAGCTAATCGCAAGCTAAGCAATATGAAATCAGCTAATACTACCAACGTATGCAACCAGAAAAATATAGGGTTATAATTTTTTCTCACTAGCCAGTCAGGCTGGTTACTTGATGAAACCACTAGTCATCCTCCTCATCTCTAACTCAACCATTTTTACAAACATCTCAAGTGCACAATTAATAATCATTAAATAATTTAATTAATAGTTAAACAATTACTCTCTCAGTTTTAGGAGTCACCTAATGACGAGTATGACTAAGCACTTCACAATGAATGCTCTTCTGCAGCATTCTGCACATTAGCCTGATACAGGTCTAGTATCACTATCAGCCAACGTGGCAGTTTACAAACTGCCTTTCTTAGAGACAATAAACTAGACTCGAATGGAAGCACACAGTCACACACACACATGCACGCACCACACATACACGTGCCACCACGCACACACAAAGACATGTGCCAATTACACACGCATGTAACACACCACCACGCATGCACGCACAACACACACTGATCACCACACATGCACGGCCTTCAGTACGGACAACTAGCATGCAATTACCTCATCAGCATACCCTTCCAGCAACATATTAACGGCTCTGTTTGGATCTCATCGCAGTCATGCAATGCTACGACTGTCTCATCCACAGCATCTGCCTGTTAGCTCACTACCTGCACGATAACACAATGGTGAAACACACATCGCAATAAGTACAGTCAGACGACTAACCATCGCAAACAAACTCTCTCCACAAGCGTTCTCCACTACCATGTACAATATAAACAACCGACAAGCATGAGCGTGAATATGGCTATACAACATGTACAAGTTCAACCATCACCTCAAAACAACCCTACCCATGCGACCTACACAATACAACAAACAGAGGCATGAAATTCAGATTCTTTGACCGGCCCAGGGGCTGGCAACAGCAGTTTTTTACCAGCCCTATCATATTTACCAGCCCAACAAATTTTGCCTTTAAAAAAAACATAAAGACAAGACCGTTTCGCTGACTCTTGCTTGTCCAAAAAATGTTGTAGTGCTGCGGCATCACGCCAGTAGCTGTTGAACAGACATATAATGCAGTCCTGTGAATGATGTCGAAGTGTTTTTGTTCAAAGTCATGTTTCAACGCTCGCATTGTCGATTTTCAAATTTGTTAAAATGTTGATCAATTATGGGTACATCCTTCAGGTAAATAGTATTTTAGGCTATTTGCCTCATTCAATGCTATAAATAATGAAAGTGTCAATGACACTGTAGCTCACATAAAAAAAGGACACAAATGAGTGAGTGAGAAGAAGCAGTTTTAATTGAGCACATCACGACGTACATTATAGAAACGAAGAGTATATATGGGAGAACTCTATCTCTTATTATATACTCTTGATAATTATGTGTAATTTTTTATGTGAAAATAATAAATAATATTATATATAAATTATAAATAATTTATAAACAAAAATGAATCACAATTTGTGACCGGTAGATGGCCGCTATACCCGCTTTGATGTTTCTTTAGCATAAATCATTATATCATAATAATAATAATAGTATAAATCATAAATATGTCATAGCAGGAAAATTTTGGCCATTAAAGATATTGTCAATGAAATCTTGTAAAACGAACAGACGAGTGTGACACCACAGACTGTTTGTTATGTGCGTGTCTATATAATATGCTATATAATTGCCAAACCCTACTTAATTTGCATATTTTTTTTAAATATCAAAACCCCTAGCCCTTATTTATTCTAATACCAATGAAAGTGTCAATGACACTAAGCTCACCACAAAAAAGGACACAAATGAGTGAGTAAGAAGAAGTCAAGCAAACCATCGCACGTACATTATAGAAACGATTGCCATCTGATAATCGCAAAATAAATTTATAAACCAAAAATGAATCACAATTTGTGACCGTAGATGCGCGCATACCCCGCTTTGTAGCAATGGCGTTTGAAATAAATAGGTTATGCTGCCGTTCCGACATGTTTTAAAAACTTTACTCGTAACATAGACGTTTTTATCGCAGGGTCGGAAGGGAATACCAATTTTGCATTAAAGATATTGTCAATGAAATCTTGTTAAACAAACCAGA